GTATACAACATTCTATTTAATAACACTGGAGAAGTAACTTGGATGTAAGTAATACCTGTTGTAATCTAATTTACCTTGTTTTATGTTATTTATATGTTATTTATTTATTTGATTTTTAATTGTTAATGTTATTTACGTAACCCAACGATCATTTTTTCATTTTTATTTCGTGGGAAATTGCTCACTATCAAAGCATAAGGATAACTGAGTAAATTTATATAAAATTCCTTTTCAATTTTTAAATTTATCATTGTTGTATTAACACAGTTTTACTACTTTACAATTACACTGTTCACTATGTAATAATCCATGATGTTAGACTCATGAATATCCTGTTTTTAGTGCCCTGAGGATGGCCTAATTTAGGCCGAAACGTCGGCAAATACACACTATCTTCTTCAACGCCGTTTATTTTTGACCTAAATCCAACCTTTTCTCAAAAAAACCAACCTGAATATCTACTGAGGTCACTAACTATAACAAGTTAACAGTAATCATGATTTTGTATATTTTATGTCAGACATGTAATTAAAGTAATACAAATACAAATTGTAAAGACTTCTTTGAAACCGCCCAAAAACTCTGTTGATCTTATTTCCCTTTACTGTACACCTCCGGCACATAAGTCAACGGTCCGACTGGATTTGGTTATTCTTTACAATACAAATTTTAGTTTAAAAAAAAACGCTCGCCTGCATACCAAAAAGGCACACGGGAAACAGCTCATACGGGACTATTAGGAAACTCTTGAAAGAGTTTTCTTCGTAACTACTGCCCGTCACATACCATCATTGACGTCATTGAAGGCACAGGCATCGCGAATGGAATCGCTAACATAACCCTCCGAAACTTAGAATAATTTCACGTGGTATTTGGCTTCTAATAACTTCTTCAACACTTTTTCATGACAGCATAATTATGAATTTTAAACCCGATATCCAGCGTGGGTGCAGTCACAAGTTTGTCTTTACCGTTCGAAGGTTTTTTTTTTACGCACAAAAAAATATACGACACATTTTCAACTACATCGAAACTAACTAGAATGTCGTTTGGTAGTAGAGTGATATCACTGATCTTTTTGATGAAATGAGTTGAGTCTTTAACATAAGAGCTAGATTGGCCAAGCCGTGGCTGAAGGAGGGTGGTGAGGTATTTGGCTATGCTCTATGTAGGCGAATCTATTGCACTTACAATGGGTCTGAGTGGGTTGCCTCTTTTTGTGAATCTTAGGAAGCCCATATATTCTAGGTGATAAGGCCTCAGATTTGATGAGTTTGCTTATGTTTTCCGGGTCCAACGGTAGTGCTCGGACGAGTTGATTGGTTTTTCGCAATATAGAAGCATTGGGATTGCTTTTCACCTTTCAGTAGGTGGAGGGGTCTAGCAATTGGGAAATTTTTGATTCATAGTCAGTCGCGTTCAGATTACCGTTGCGTTTCCTTTATCCGCATGCAGGACTAGTATGTTGTCTGTATTCAGGCTGCGAATAGCTTTCCTTTCCTCGTATGTCAGGTTTGACTTTGGAGGTTTCGCTAGTCGTAAAATCCTAGATGTTTTATTGTGCGATGTGCGATCATTGCCTGTGGGTTTCGCAGTGTTCAATGGTTGCAAGGACTTAAACTTATTTACCAGTTTCTTGGTTGTTTTTGCTAGTGTGGCTTCCATCACGTCATACGTCATACGGTCAATTTTGTCCCAGGCACTCCAATGCAATGCTGTTGGATAACCTTTGGTTTATCGATAGAAGATCCTTGTCCATAGCTGCTAGGTCTTTCCTTGTTTGGCGAATACGTTCCCGAAGCAAGGCTCGTTCCGCTCGTTCGAAAATTCTGTTGGCTTGGAAGGAATTAAAAATTCTTCGAATCTTCAAAAAATTCGGAACGACTTTCAAGTCTCTGCATTTTTGGGGATGGGATTGGATTGGATTTCAAGTTATTCTCTTTAGCATAATATTTCGTGAAAATGAAAATAAAAATCAACAATTTTAATAAAGTTGGAAGTATCTCTGGTATGTATAAATAAATGTTGATGTGCAATATATCGTTGGAAAGCGCGTCTCCTCCTGATTAATAATCACTAATAATATAAGTTGATGTAAGAATACAAACTTGCGTTATATAGGGAAATAGAATCGTGTCACAATTTTTTTTCCGGCTATATTGATTACGTCATCAACGCGGCTAGAGGGCCAATAAAATTTGTGTCCCGGGCTTTTTGGACTCGCCCACTTATGTACTTTCTGAACCCAAGAGGGCGCATTGGTTGCCAGATCTGAAACTTTTGTTTCCTATCTCGCCCCACTATAAATATTACGAAAAAAATAAATCTAAAATGTAAGGGGGTACTTAGTTGGTATCCTTATACTAACTGATGTTGCTAAATGCTAGAAATAGGGATGTTGATATCGAAAAAAAAAATATCGATATATATCATATCGATAATTAAAATTAATATTGTATCGAGCGTTTGATATATCTTTGAAAAATATCGATATTTCGATATATCGACAAAAAAATTAAATGCTCCATTAAGGGTCGGTTTCTCACTAGCGAGTCACCTTCGGGTTGGTTTTAACTCCAAGGTAAGCTTATCCAAATGCTATGTTAACCCTGGAGTTATGCTTAACCAAGGGGTGACTTGCTATTGGGAAACCGGCCCTAAGTAAAAGTATTATTGTCTGTACCTGTACCAGTTACACCGTAAAAATGTTTTTTTTACAAGCAAGTTATGAATAAACAAAATATTAATTATTACGAAAACGAATATTTTTCATTTTCATTTGTTCTGAATGTCTAATGTCATTGCTTGTCTACAACTGTCACTAGGCCACTATAGAATAGTATATTGTTGTATTAGGAGTAGAAGCTTTACTTTTTTGTGCTGAAGCAGTAGGTGCTGAAGCACAAAAAGTGCTTCTACTCCGTATGCAACACGCTATTTTTTCTCCAAACGAATGGGGTAAGCTCGGGGGTAACTGAATGGTTAAGCGGCAGTAAAAGTACGAGCGGCACTAAAAGTACTTTTGCTGCCGCTCCAGCGGCATTAAAAGTACTTCTACTGCCGCTGCGGTTGCCTAGCAGCATAGAAATTAAATTTCTACCACCTCGACAGGTGTTAACCCGCTGAATTTGCGTACCAGCATAGAAATTAAATTTCTAACATCTTGACAGGTGCTAAAAAAGTGACGGTTTTTTGACGTTTGGAGAAAAACATTTTTTTTTAAATATTTTTATGATATCGCTCTACTTGCTCTGGATCGCTCGAGATGAAACCTCCTAATCGAAATTATTGCCTTGAAAAGTTCTTAGAGCGTAGAGCGGTGAATTTTTTTTGAATTGTGCTCGATAAATATATCGAGTACCGATAGTCAACTTTTGATATCGATATACCGATATATCGAAACAAAAAATATCGGTCGATATTATCGATATATCGGAAGAAAAATATCATCCATTTGATATATCGATATTATTTCAACATCCCTAGCTAGAAATAGTTAAACTTAATAAATAGATACCTTTGTTGTTAATTAGGATGCAAATTTAACCGTACAGTAATGCAACTCCATATAGGGTGTTTAACAAAAACTTCAAACCCGTCGATTTTTTATTCGTAGGGAAACTATTTAGTCAACCATCCAAGGACCTTTTTTTTCAGTTATACATGTAAACCCCATACTTTGTGAGTGACTTGCTTACATCAAGTCCTACAACTTTTTTCTCTACGACTTTTCTCGGGAATGGCACGTATGCGCGCAGGCGACTCGCAAACATGTCGATCTGACGTAGCTATGTTTCCTGATACATGTAGGTAAATCTAATTTTACGAATGCTGTTTGATTTTTATGTCTAAATCACGGAAATCAACTTGGCCGACAAAAATAATGGCAAATTGGGGGAGTCCGACACCCCCAAAATGTCGATCTGACGAGGTTATGTTTCTTGATACATGTAAATCTAATTTTACGTATACTGTTTGATTTTTATGTCTAAATCACGGAAATCAACTTGGCCGACAAAAATAATGGCAAATTGGGGGAGTCCGATACCCCCAAAATGTCGATCTGACGAGGTTATGTTTCCTGATACATGTAACTCTCATTAATTTTTTTTTCGATCTCAAATTAGCTCTATATTGAAAATAAATGTGTGTCCGACAAATTTGCAAAAAATAATACATATTCGAAAAAATATTAACAGCAAAGATACATTTTATTGTAATCGGTAATTAATGTACTTTAACTACTTTAACTTATGAAAAATATTGAGAAGTTTACCTGATAATTTATACATAAGCTACTCCATTCCATTTGAATTAAGTATTTACGCGGCCAAACGCTCGTTTAAAGCTAAGTCCTCATAATCGCGAATTGTGAACCTTTAATTAAGCAAATTTCAAACGCTATTTTTTTATTTATTGCAGAATCTGATTAAGAGTTTTTAGATGGCGACATCAACTACAGTGATGATGAGGTTTATGGAGATAATAATGAAAATAATGAAATTGACCATTCAGATTAATATAAAATAAATTATAATTTTTTTTGAATTAATTTTGATCAAATTCATTTCATTTAAATAACATTTGTCAACTAAAATTACTTCGTCTGAAAAAACAATCAATAACATATACCTTTAAATTGAATAGGTATCCACTTTTTTGCGTGTAAATATGCGTCAAATTTCTTTTATAAAATAATTTGAAAATTTAAATTATTTTTTTTTCTATTTTTGCTAGTCTTAAGTTTATTTCCTGTCGGACTTGTCGGACAAGACTAATTTAGCATTCAGAAAACATGATTTGATCAAGACTTACCTTTGTCCGACATACATGTATTAGGAAATATAACCTCGTCAGATCGACATTTTGCGGGTGTCGGACTCCCCCAATTTGCCATTATTTTTGTCGGCCAAGTTGATTTCCGTGATTTGGACATAAAAATCAAACAGTATTCGTAAAATTAGATTTACCTACATGTATCAGGAAACATAGCTACGTCAGATCGACATGTTTGCGAATCGCCTGCGCGCATACTTGCCATTTCTGAGAAAAGTCGTAGAGGAAAAAGTTGTAGGACTTGATGTAAGCAAGCCACTCACAAAGTATGGGGTTTACATGTATAACTGAAAAAAAAGGTCCTTGGATGGTTGATTAATTTGTTTGCTTGTGAAATCGATTTGGATTCACAATATGCTTTTTCAGCTATCAAACCCACAGATAATGATGCTTGATGCTGCCAAGATTCTTAATGTGATACCTACTCGTGAACGCCTAAAATAAAATCAAAAGTCACTCTCGTCATAAGAAGTGCTTTTGAAACTACATGAACTGGCAATAACTCGAGGAAAAATGCTGGAGAGATTGAATATGTTTAGATAAAGATCTGCATCTTGAGCCTCGTCCAGATTAGTAAATAAATGCGTTGCGTTGAATTCGGATTTCGCCACAAATTTTTGCGGAGTAAATTTGGCATCTTGACCGACATAAATATTTGTGTTGTGCGGCGTGCGTTCTTGCTCAACGCGTGTGTGCCTATTTTATTTCAGTGTGCCTATTTTATTTCAGTGTGCGCGTTATTTGTTTTTGGTTATTTGTTTCTTTCGCGAAAAAATGCGTCCACGCTAGAACGATGTTGCGCCGCAAATCCCTTTTATATCTGATAATAATCGATTTATTTTACTAATAAAATTATAAAATACTTAAAAATAAAAAAAAAAAAAAAAAATTAATTGAATAAATAAAATATCTCTTCTAAACCTGACTGATACGGGATAGTCCCGATGATCGAAGCAGCATTGCCCCGCTGAATAGCCAAACTAATTAGCTGAACAATGAAGCTCCTTGTTAATGACCTCTTGCCAGAATGTTTAATTCGTGCAGAAATCTCATTAACAAGGTCCTTTGCTTCTACACCCCAGGGTCCCAAGGTTTCAACACTAAAAGGAACAAAAACAAATTTCTCCACTAATTCCTTATATTTGCATCTCTTTTGTTGCTCCCCAAGAAAAGCTGCCTCCCCAGCTTTGTTGCTAGTTCTTGAAATGTAACTTTCAGCTAATGTGTCTCGACATGTTACATCCCATATCAATTGTTTGCCTTCTCTCCAAGGGAAATATGACAAACCATCTGCTCTCTTTCCGTCACTTCTACAAACACCAATTGGTTCTAGGCTATTAGGAGTATCTGCTGCAACCAAAGATCTGTGCAGAATTTCGTTTATGAACCGATGTCTGGACAACCTACCAGCACTATTGGAACAGCACAGGCCATGATGACCCAGAATGTCAACTAATTGTCCGCAAGTGCAAGTATGTTATTCACACACCGGTTGACCTAAACGAAGGGCAACGGAAATGCGAAAAGTGGAATCATCTAATAACGTTCCCAATGGAGGAGAAGGCAAAGCACAAAGCCACGCATTACTCTCTTGTTCTTGTAGAGCTAAAAGTCTAGCTTTTGATTTTGGATTATCAGAATTCTGAATTTTAAATTGTATTGAATTTTTACAAAAAAAATTGTCAAAATCTTTTTGAGTTTTAGGACATGGAGACGGAATAGTATTCAGATTACAAAGATTGAACAAATTTTTCAATGCAAAGTCAAAATCTGTATAATTTTTATCGATAATATAATTTGGTAGTATAAGGGATGTTAAATATTCTGTGTCATTAACTGAACCTAAAAAGGCAGGAAACGTTAGATTTTCAACATTGCGAATACCAAGTCCTCCAAATCTAACTGGAAGAGATGCAAGAGACCAAGCTTCCTCGTTAAGTGTAGAGTTTGTTATATGTTGCATAGTCTGCTTAAAAAGGAGATTGACTTGGGAAAGTGATTTTTTCGCTAACCAGCATGGTGAAGATCTTAAAATATATGACAATTTAGGTACAGCTAAAGCGTTCTTTAAAAGGAAATAAGCCAAATGAGAATTCAAACTTTTTAAATTTTTGCATAAATTTTCAATTTTTTTTACTTTATTATTTAAAGACTGTTCAATGCAATTTGATGATAACGGAGACAGGTCCACACTCGCATAAATTTGTATCGCACACACAAATTTGTGCCGAATACCACGCACAACGTAAATTTTTACTAATGTGGACGCGGCTTTGGGTCTGCACAGGAATTCCACAATTACATGGTTAATGGGAAGTATGAACTATGACCAAGTACGCTCAATTGAATACTCGTCATAAAGCAGATAAACAAACAGTGACATTTTCAATGTTACAAAACAAGGAACTTATTTACACAACGCAGCGTAGGATCCCTGGGTATATGATCTAGAACAGCAACGTTCCCGCCCTTGATCCCTTTTATATACCGATTTCCCACCAATCCAGGAGAACAAGCAGAATAAATAAACATATCTTGAAGCCAAATCTGATAAGAACACAGTAGTTGATGTTCAAGTACACTCTTCTCAAATTGACTCCTCCGACTTTTTGACTACGCATGTCATCGTAACGAATACAAGTTTTGACGTAGTAATGCAAAATTCATAAAGAATACTTACCCAAGTAGGTTTTCATAATAGTTTTTCCATTTTCACTTGATCTTCATAAGTTAAATTAGGCAACTATTTACATAAATAATATAAACTTTAGTAAAGTCTCCACAAGTAATTTTTTTAAAGGAAAGTTCACATTTCATGTATGCCGTTCCGATAGAGTCATCCAGAAACAATAATGAATTTTGATTTCTCGTAATTTCCTTGTTGATGGAAATACTGATGCGAAATTTAAGGCGCGTTTTCACGGGTCGATCTGAGTTGAACGCCCTGGGTCGTTCGACCATCGTTCGATCTGTGTTGAAAGGAAAAAGGTTTACACCATAGGCGATGTATGTTGAATAATTGCAAAATGGCGTCAAGTGAAATTATTGATGTAGGTGTGCAATTAATTTGTTGTGCGATTCGGGATGAAATAATGACTGAATCGAAAAAAAAAGAGAAATAAACGAAGGTGTTGGACCCGGCCATAGATTTTAAAACGAAATACCCAAAGTGCATCACAAAATCTCCTTCGAGAATTGGTTGTAGAAGTTCCAAAGGCATATAGAAATCATCTCAGAATGGATAATGCTCACTTTGAAGAACTTTTACAAAAAAATGTAGGGAGAATTCAAAGGAACGATACAAATATGCGTGAAGCATTACCAGCAAGGCAGAAAATTTTCCACAAACCTATAGCGTGTCGCACCAAAAATAAAAACTTTAAACAACACCATTCAGCATTCGGCACGTTTTGTTTTCTTTCGGTGAGGTGTTTACACATTCGATTCCAGTCGTTCGACTTCGATTCGGCGACGATTGCCTGTAAAAGTAGACAACCTTTCTACTTCGGTCGAATCGACTCTCTCCGTCGAACGGCCAAGTCGAAAGGTGGTTTACATGTTCAATTTGCTTTCGATTTAATGATCGACATATATCGTTCGACTCAGATCGACCCGTGAAAACGCGCCTTTAGAGTCATGAATTAATCGTTAAGGCTCTGGATATTGAGCAGCGTACAACCAACGGCCCCTCTCGGTTGTTCCACCCAGGATTTTGAAATTATAAGGAAGAAAAAGCACACAAATAGTTCCACCTCGAATGAAAAATCGACAGGTCCAAGATTTTCATTTCAAGTCCTTATTATCAGGATGTCAATTTTTCGTTGGCCCACCTTGTATTTACTAAATATAGATAATCCCCATTACAATTTGAAGTATACCATAAAAAAACGATATTATAATATATTATAATATGTAGGTATTATGTTAAAGTTTATAAACAAATTACCTTCTAAGAAAAATATTGTTGATTCCTCTCAGGGTAAATAACCAATATGTAGGAAAAAAGACCATGGTGAGGAGTCTTTGAAATTATTTTTAAATAATGACAACGCAAAATATAGTACACTGTTAAATTAATGTGTAACGAATTAAGTACATCAAACTCCGAATAGTACCTAACAATACTTCAATGGGTAATAATGAATTTTCAAATCACCATACAAATGGCACCATATTTTCACTTTAAGTTGGCTTGCCCATACACTAATTATTTTTTTTATGAAATTGAAGTTAGTTGAGCAAAAAATGGGAAAAAAACTAAATGAAAATGTATGGAAATATTTGTCAAAACGAAGACTAATAATATGTACCGGATGTCAAGTTATAAAGTACCAAGACCCTGTAACTTTTTTATATACAATTAAAAATAAAAAAGTTACAGGGGGTGATACTTTATAATTTGACACCCTGTACAGGTTTAGTTATTGGTTATTAATTGACCACCTACTTAAATTTGTTTATTTTTTTAGTAAGAAAAAAAAATTCAATATGAAAGTTGATTTGGTTAAAGCCAAGAGTCGTTCAATTTATGCACTGTGCACCAGGATGCTGGTTTAATACATGTTTAGTAGATCTTGAAGTTAGAAATAAAAGAAACTTAGATAATTTCACCATTCTAATTCACATCAGGCAATTTTTAACTCCTGTTTCATCCATACATTTACATTTAAGTAGGAAGTAGGCAGTCTATTCATTACCAGTTTGATAAATTGAAAAATAAATTGAAGCACTGCCATCGATTAAAAAAAAAACAATTTTTAATAAAACTCATTACTACCCAGAATATTTAATGGACCCTTCAATCCTTGTGATATTTACGTACGTATAAAAATTTGGATGAGGTAGATTTGCTGAAATCCAAACTTTTTATCGTCTTAGCAATACACAAAATTAGAACAATCATATTACGATTAGAGATTACTTTATAGGTCACACAACATTGCTAACTTCCTTACCCCAGGCTTTAGCAGAATGTGACCTAATGATTAAAACTGTTTTTATTATTATTGTATACCCAATTAGCTGATATGTAGAACAAACAGGATTTACTTTCAAATTATGCAAGTATGTCAAGTTTACCAAGGTATAGTCTGTCCGGTGAATGTTTTCCTCTGCGTCATCGTTTGAAATGTATGAACCTAGTCGGTAAAGTCTGTCCGGTGAATGTTTTCCGCTGCGTCATCGATTTCTGCACTAATCCCAGACATTACAATTTGTTTTCGTTTTATTTGTATTTTTACCGACTAGGTTCATACATTTCAAACGATGACGCAGCGGAAAACATTCACCGGACAGACTATAACTGTTATCAATATAGTAATAGTAATGAATATTATTCTGTAATTATTTGGACGATTTTGAATATAGGTCTTACCGACACCACATGCATAATGGAAAGTAAAGAGGTTCAGTCATTATCTGATGTCATAATTTATTATTTAATTATCATTTTCTTCAAATTTTGATCCAATTCAAATGTTTATGAAATAAAATATAGATATTATATACCTCTGGTGAAATAAAAAACTGTATTACCTGCTAAAAGTGGTTTTATTCAAACATAAATCTAACCTTTTGATAGTGTCTTCTTTGCCTAAAATTTCTATCATTTCGGCTACGCTTGGACCTTCCTGGAACAAAGAAAATACTAATTAGATTACAAAAAGGCTTGGAAGGTAAGAAATTTGTATTCACTGCTAGTTGTTATTCTCTGGAAATCTTTTCGAAGAATGGTATAAGTCATTGGACAAAAACATACATTTTTATTCTTTCATTTATAAAACCAGTACATACTTCATTTCTCTCCTCCTAACTCTTAGAAATCTTCAGTAAAACCTATTAAATCCTCTCAAACCCTAACTTAATTGATCTAAATAAACCTCCCAACTTCGACTCCAATGGCATGGAGATTAACGTTTCGAATTCCACAAGGCTAGAACTTTTATAATATCAATTCTCCCTCTTCTATAGTTCAGGTATTATCTGATTGGAGGGAGAGGGTCCTCATCATATTGACAGGGATGGGGTACCAAGAAACCAGCTTCGTCTAGGAGCCCCTCTTTTTCTACTGTACATATAATCGACTTGGATCTTCTATTAGTATAGGAGCTGGCAGGTTTTTCGGTAAACGATATTTATCAAAATTTTTATTAATAAATCATGATTTTGAGTTACCTGGACATACAAAACTGACCGTCTGCCGTTTCGGGGTGGCAGCTTTAATCGGGGGAAATTTTTCACAGCCACTCTCGTTTTAATTCATCATCCTTCGGCAAACAAGAAGTACCTGGTTATTTGTTTCACACCTTTTTCTGATTTTAATTGGACTCGCAACCGGGAGACACTGCACTTAGAAGGCATAAAATTTCAGCAATATATTATCAGTTTTCAGGTTAGGAATAGATTCAACAAATCAGAATTTTGTGTTTACCAAGTTATTTTGAGTTTGTTAACTTTAAACACGTTCAAACACACACCTTTTCGACACGAATAAAATTTAAAATATAGTTATATATAGTTAAAAACAAGCAAATATTTGGACAAAAACGGATAACTAACAACAAAAGGGCACCCTTATGTGCATAGCTTATGTGTGTAAATCAACTGGTTCTTACAATCACCTGTTTGAAAATATCGACCTTTTATGGTCACGTGGTACATCCAGTGCCAGGGCCATTTGTTTAGTAAACTGACTAAACTGACAGTTTTCCATGGAGAAATGTCAGCTTAGGGAATACTTATCGCTAGGGCTTCCCTAAAATAGTTGGTGGAAACGCCCATTAAAGGAAAATAGGTTAGGTTATACAGACAGATCGATCAAACACATCTGATCTGCGCATGCACGCTCCAGCTGCACACTCCACAAACTCGGACTTTACCGAGCTCGCTCGGAGTGATCAAAATATGTCAAACCAAACACAATCAAGCGTTGTCGAAGCTTGAAAAATAACGGAACAAAAGCCGAGTTCGGTATTTGCATCGCAGACGAGACAGATTTTTGGTCAAGTGATTACAGATTAGTCTGAGCAAATTGCAATTAACGAACGGCCCGATCAAATTTTTGCTTGCTGTTTTACGTTCTTTTGGTGTTTTGAAGTGTTTCTTTTTCATCGTTTACCATCCCTATGACAATTTTGGTGGTTATACATGGATCATTCGAGAAGCACTTTCGCATGGTTTCAGCAATTTTTTACTAAAGCCTCATGATGTAAGCATGAAAAATGTAGAAGTTGAAATACGACATGCGGCAATGAAGATAGAAACTTAATTTCAGACATTTTTGCAGAAAAGCGTCTGATTTTAGTATTAAAAATTCGCGACATAACCTCAGAATCGCAGATTAATCTCTCTCCTCGGTCTAAATAGTCCGAGCAAAAAGATTTACGTCCGACTGGTCTGAGCGGAATAAACGAACGGTTTAGATTTACCTCCCCTACATCTATATAGATGTAATAAACGAACGATTCAGATCGAAAATATTGATCAGACGTAAATACCGAACGCAGCAAAAGACAAAAGTGCAAGCTCCGAGTGCACCGAGCGTGAACCCAAACGTGCCCCTGAACGAAATTTACGCGCCTCCTGGATAAAAATTACGCGGTTTTTGTCAGAAGAGTGCGACTATTATAGGATCATAGGATTACGTAGAAAACGATGTCTGCTGTTTTATTATTTCTTGTATGTGGTATTTATAATTAGATTAACTAATAGTCGCATGACGGAGACCGCGCAGCGACCAGGCCATTTTGCTAGGCCAGGACATCGGGCGATGCCCGATAGGCCAGTCCGCCCCTGATCTAGTCTCGCTGCACCACTCCTTCTACAGCAGACCGTTCGCACAAGCTGGGCCCGCCTTCCGGTCGCGTGTCGCTTGCATCGGTCTGTACTGCCTACAAATCTATCAAAACAGTCCGTTGCGGTCGCACGTCGCGGTCGCTCGGTTTCGGTGGCTTGTCGCGGTCTGTCGGATCGGAATGCTACCTTTATCAAAATTACTCAGGCAGACGATTTGTTTGACAGCATAACTTCGGCAGACGCTTGTCAAATTTGTAATTTTTAAGTTGCAGTGAACGAAACTTATCAAATATTTTTTTCGCAAATCGATTCCCTATTCACTAACGTTCATCAGATACCTGCTGGGTCTGACAAGAACGGGCCCGGATTCCGAAGACATGATTCGATAGTATCGTCTATCTAAACTCAGTCGAAAATGAAGTGAAACACCCAATAACCTCAAAATATCACTATATTTGGAAAGCTGTAACTTTTGTAATTTCATTCTGATGGTGAATCTCAAACCAGTGTTGGGAAGCCCTAACTTTATCCTTTTTTCAGTGGTGGCGGATCCGCTTTGGACCAAGCTTTTTTATATACAGGGTGCTGAATTTATCAGCATGCAAAATTTGAGAAATTCATCGAGGAATCTGGAAATAATGACGCATAGTGAAATTATTCTTTCTGTCTACGGTGGATTACTAGATGAACACCTCTAGACGTTATTGTAATTTTTATGAAAACTGGCTTTGCTATGGAAATATAGCTGTTTTTGTCAAATATGATTTTTTTCTTAAACGAAAATGGAACTCTTCAGTCTTCACTCTCAGTAAGTATCTACCCCTACCAGTGACATGCGTATGGAGGCTTACATTTTGAGAAATGTGGTGCTTGATTAGGGAGTAGGCTTTTAAATAAGAGGGGAGGAGTAGAAATAAGTAGCAGTGACGTGCAAGAAGGGGTTCAATTTCTTTAATACAAACATTAACAAATAGAGTAACAATACAAAACAAAAATGAAAAGAATAGGTAGATAAACCAAAACTAATAACTTGTTGGCACCCATCTATTTTGAAAAACTGCTCGACATCGCCCAGGCATCCTAGAAATTAAAAGTGTTTATGAAATGAGCTGGAACTTCCTCCCAAATCTCAATGATTATGGCCTCAAGTTCGTCTAGATTTTCCGGTTGGTGCTCTCTTTTTGCGAGTACCAACTTGATGAAGTTCCAGTCGATTTACATTTTGTTCTTCTTGTAGACATTTATTAGCTAAAATTGCTCAATAGGGTCGTGCATTATCGTCTACAAGAACAAGAACAAAATTATCCCCATTGTTCCTATCATGCGGAAGGACGACCGGTGCTAAGAATTTCTCCAGGTAAATCCTAGCATTTACATTTCTATTTCTAGAAGTCACAAGGTCTCTTCTTCCATTGTGTTGGATATGCCGCCGCAGGCGCCCCAGACCGGAATTCCCCTGCCTCCAAATGCAACTTGGGTACGCCTATTTTCTTCCATAAATGTTTCTCTACATCTCCTTCGAGTTTACAATCGGTCATCAGACTGGTACAGGTTGAGCCGACATGCATTCGTGAAAAGGCAGTCTCATTTCTAAAAATGTGAGCCTCCATACGCACGCCACTGGAAGTGAAGGGTTTAATTTTGGTCCTATTTCTGCCTAATTCCTCCATTTTTTTCTCCTCCTAATTAAATAAACGAATTAAAGAAAAAAAAATCATGTGCCGCGCAGTACACGTGGTAGAAGTGAAGCTTTTATCTCTTCATATTGAGTGTATACGCCGCTCTCACTTGCTCCACTCCCGTACTGCGCGTGACACTATCTATTCTCTTCCATTGCCTCCTAGTATTCAGTGAATACGTATGTCTCTGTTCTCTCTCTTCTCTTGCTTGTACAATGCTTCCTAAACTATTCCCCCTTCGAGCAACTGAGACTCTGAACTGAGGGAGACGCGCATCTGTAGTGACGTCGCAAGGGTATCAGCGCTTGACAATAATAGGCAATCCTCTTTGCTTATAATCCTTGGTTTGTGTCAATCGTTCGTCGGCTGTCATTGTTATTGGTTGTCTTTCTCCGTCTCTCTAGGTTATATCTTTCTTCTCTCTTGAGTAAGGAAATTTGCCCGTGACGCGTTTTTCAAATAGCTCTTCATTGTCGTCCAAATATCAGACCGCCGCCTAAGAAGTTTCACTTCAGAAATCATATTTGACAAAAACATTTATATTTCCGTAGCAACTCAGGATATCATGAAAATTGCAAAAACGTCTACACCATTTCTAAATCAAAGAGGCAGTAAATGACATTCAATAACCTAAATTGTAAACAAACACCGGCCTTCCTATTGGTTGAAACGCCCCACCTGGACCGGTGCGCATGCACGGAGGACATTTGATAGGTTGTAATGAAAATGACCAGTTTGTCATTTACTGCCGCTTGGATTTGGTTCAACCATAGAGGTGTTCATCTAGTGATCCACCCGATACATAGGGAATCATTTTACCATGCCTCATTATTTCCAGATTCTTCAATGACTTTCTCAAATTTTGCATGCTGATAAATTCAGCAGCCTGTATATAAGAAAGCTTTGGTCAAAAGCCAATGAACTAAACACAAACACACTGGAATGGTGACTTCATAATTGTTTCTACGCAAGGGCTTGTGCCAGGAAGGACAACAAACAAGAGGGATTTGCAACTCTCTCTGCACCATGGCTGCTATTGAGAACAGCTGTTTGAAGTTTTTGGATCATTGGGGTTAGGAGGATGAAGAATCTCTTCTTTCTTTTACATTAATCGCAATGAGTGCGAGTGAGACGATAAGCCCACCCTATTGCTGGGT